AACCTGAGTACTCTGAGGAGCAGCCAGTGCTCTTAACCACTGAGCCATCTCTCTGACCCCCCAGAATAAATCCTTTATTTAAAAGATTTAATTAATTATTATATATACAGTGTTCTGATTGCGTGTTTCCCTGCACATCAGAAAAGGGCACCAGATCTCACTATGGATGGTTGTCAGCTACTATGTGGTTGGTGGGAATTGAATTCAGGACCTCTGTAAGAGTAGTCAGTGCTCTTAACTGCTAAGCCATCTCTTAACTTCTGGAATAAATCTTAAAAATAATAAAAAAAATCTACCCTTGGCTCCAAGTTTCTTCTCCCTTCCACTCTTGGCAGAGGGGGTGAATGGCAGGATTCAACATTTAACTTAAGTAGGCACTGAAACTTGTAGGTCTGACTTTAAGACGCTGAGATGGGTAACACACAAACCCACTGGCATGCATAACCACTCTCACTCCCAATTCTCTGACTAGATGAACCTCCTGAGCCAATGCACATCCATGTGCGTGGTCCCCAGTCCCTTCTGTCCTATGTACTAGCACCCCATTCTGCTCTCTCATGGTAGCTCACTGGTGAGCCACTTCTTTCAAGGACCATTAGTGGGTATTCCTGATAAGTTTCCATTAATTCCTACAAAGTCTTATTGCAAACTGTCTCTACCCATGAGCTATCCCAAACTGGGAACAGCAAAGATTCCCCCATTGTTTATTAAACATTTTCTATATAACTATTTCAGGTACTGATTTCATAAAAATTAGACTCTGAAGAGAATTTAATCTCTTATGAACAGAGAAAATTCACCTGAAAACTACAGAGTTTTGACCAAGTAAACAACCGAGAAAGCACTGAGCATTGGCTCCAGCTCCACACACACAGACTCAGACTGACGGCTCTGTTCTGGGGTGCAGTCTAACCACTGAGCACTGAAGGCCCAAACTCTGTGGCTGCTGTTTGCCTGTGCCTTTGCAGCCAATGTCACAGCCCGGGCTTATTATAGAATCAACCAATACTCGCACACAGGCAAGTCAACACCCACCTTATAGTGCCGTCCATGATTGAGCCTCTGTGGTTACAGGCCTTCATTGCACATGCTAGGCAAGTATTCTATCATCAGGCTATGCCTACCTGATTTTTTTCAAAGTGCCAACATAAAAACCCTTGTCAAGGGACAACAGACTTTGAGGTGAGGTTAATGACACAGTGAGACAGATACTCTGAAACCACACAACACCAGAAAGAAAAGCATATTTAATAGTTTAATTTTATTTAAGAATTTTACAAAAACAGAAAACAAAATCCAAACAAAAATGAAAACCGAAACCACAACCAAAACCTAAATACAGAGTTCTTTCCGTGTGAAGATTGAGTGTTTCTAGTCGAGGGTGAATAAACCCTGATCAGTGAAGCCGGTACACTTATATTGCATGAGACTGAATTTGAAAGTTACATATAAAAATGACGGCAGCACTTGACCTGGACACTCGGGAACAGGTTCCCAGGAGAGGCGGAAGGCAGCAGTGTGGCATCATGGGAACAGCGTTTAGCCTTCATTCAGATGGACACTCCTGTGCAGAGCAGCAATATAAGAGAGAATTTGAGGAAAACAGAAGCCACCCAAGAGTTTACATCTGTCTCTTTTCAGGTCTTTGGACTCCTTCAGATGTTCCCGGACGCACCGTGTACCGTGTCAGATGAGGAAGACCAGCGCCTACATATAAAATACCCTGGCACAAGTTTTACGGCAGAGACACAGTACACCTCTCCCACCCCGCATGGTTGATGATCCAAGTGAGAAGCAGTAATAGTAGTTTGCAAATTTAGTAAAAATTATGAACAGGAGGGTGGGCACTATGATTTTTTTTAGAGTGGTGAAGCTGCACTGTGCTATGTTAAAAGAATAAAAAGGCTCCCTCATCCCATCAAGTAGAGCCAAGAGCGGCTCAGGTTTCTTTACCCTCTTGAGTGCCAGTCAGAGTCATGGCAGCAAAGTCCTCTGTATGCATCTATCTGCACAGGTTTACAAGGTTCTTGGGGTGAGGTCTGGGATAAAGGGCCAGAAGCGGAAAGGCCATATTAGCTCTCCCCAAGGGACTTCCATGCTGTCCCTCAGCCCCAAGGCGGCCTGAAGTGCAAAAAACTCAAAAGGTAGCCGCCACCTCTTCTTTTTCCACACTAACTGTGTTATCTCACAGTTAACTGTTTGCTGTACAACTCCTGGCCGAACCGTACCCTGCTATATCCTTTGCACATGGCTGACTGCTGCTGCAGGACACAAGTCAACTATGTCTCAGGCACCAAAGAAAGGGAAACAGGGTAAGGGAGGAATTCCTGCTGGGGCACTTTGACAGACCTTCAATCACGAAAACTAAGTTCCAAAGATTCAGCCAAATGTAGGCAATTTTCAAAGTGTCATCAAGTCTACCAAGCTGAATATTCACTGAAATCTTTCCTGAGAAATTACAGAGGACATTTTTTGAGGGTACAAAAGTATGTAAATAAAACCCCACTCCTGCACCCTAGGTGAAGGTCAGCACCATCTCCAGAGCCCCACTGTGCCTTCAGTACCAACACTAACCCCCCAGAGCTCAGCTTCTCTGCTTACAGCTTTTCCTGGCAAGGGTGAGACTCTAACACGGGCCTGTCATATGTGCTGAAGGCTGTGGCAGCTTCCACAGCAGAACTGTTGTAGAAGGGATGACAACTGTTTTCTAAGGTTATCTGTCATGTACTAAGCTCATCTGATCACTAGAAACATTTGTGACCAGTCATATAAAAATCAGATTACTGGTGTTTGCCATAAAGTCATTTGCTTGTCACAGAAATCCAACTTCTTATATATAGGAAGCCTGTAGCCAGGTCACAAGCCAGTGGAGCAGGCCTCAATAAAGGTAGGAGTCAGCCAAGCTGCTAAGGAGCTGGAGCTGGCTGCAGATGCACAAGATGCTAAAGGAGCTGAAGGGTGGTCTAGAGAAGCACTGGTTTTGCTTTCTTCCTTAAACATTCCTGTAGGAGCAGGCTCACTACAGCTTCTAGACAACAAAAAGCACAACCAGTCACATGGTGACAAGATCAGGAGTGGCACTCAGGTACATCCCAAGACAGCACAGCCAGATGTGTGGGCAACAGAACTCCCACAGCCACGAGGCAAAGCTGAACTCTAAAGACAACTACTGACTCAGCTCAGCTTTCCACAGCTTCCTAAGTTGGGAGAAAAAAAAAAAGCACTAAGATGTCCCATATGGAGGTCCAGAAAAGAATAAATAGGAGGGAAAGGAAGAGGGGGTGCAAGAACGTGTGAATGGGGCCCAGATTTACAAGATTTACACTTGGAATGTAGAAGAATTCCGCTTCTCTATACACTCATATGTACATATATAAGTACAGCATACAACAGAGGGTGGGCACTAAGAAAAACTGCCACCTAGTCAAGCTGCATCTCCATGTTTCTCTTACTTACAGGACCCATTTGCCTTAGATGGCTAGTCTTGTGAGAGATTTTCTTGCAAATGGTTTCTGTCTTAGAGGCTGCAGCCATGACAGGGAATGCTTGTTTCAGCACAGTGTGCCAAAGCACCTATGTGGTGTGTGTATGTGTATGCTGTTCACCAGAGTCCACACACACAGGAAAGACGTTAACAAACACCATCATAGTTTCTTTTGCCATGAGTATGTCTAGACAACATTCAGTGTGTGGCCCAAGAGCAGCTTCTCTGGGACACCATTCCTAGTGCCAGAGCCCATAAAGATTCCTCTATAAAACCAGGATTCCTGGATAAAGTCTCACGGGATGAGAATGTTCTACCTGCTTTCAAAAGTGAGCCACGGGGCCCCTGTGCTAATATGGGAAGTGGAGGACAGTTCGATGGTGTGTCCTTGTTCCCCTTCTCTGGTTTCTCAGAAGTTGTTCTAATAACATGGTATGGAGATTAGCAAATAAATGTCCCAGAGGCATAGCCAAAACTGTGGCTCTAAAATACTTAATTCCTCCGGAGTTTGGTAATCTACAACTTTTCTCTCCATAGACAAAGCAAATTACAAGGTTTACTGTTGCAACTCAAAAAGGTTTAAGTGCTGAGTAAGAAGAATAAATACATTTATGTACACACTACAGCTACTACAGTGCTTTGGATACAAGTCTTTGCTAATCTATACAAACAGGAAAAAGCAGACACTAAAAGCAGGTCTGCAATTTAGTAGCAAAAAGAGAGAACTGCTCAACCTGCTTAGCTTCTGATAACTGTGTTCATATAAACACTTTAATACTTCTCTGACTCTGCACCGACAGCTCTGACTTGACCACAAAGAGGGCAAGCTTGTGGCACAGAGGTTGCTAGGGGAGGGAGCCATGACCTCCCTAGTAAGAATATCTGAGCAGCATGGAACCTGGGAGTGATTTTCAGCATGATGGGGAGTGTAAACTCTGAAAACACTGATGGACAACGATAGGATCTGCTGCTCAGAGCTCTATTGCTTAAGTGGGAGAAAAGGCATCACAAAGGCCCAGAACTTCCTGTGGGTAGAGTTAAGTGAGGCCCCTGAACACAGACGTGGCATTCAGATCCTGTGGGAGACTGGACCCACTTTATGTGACAGTGGCTGAGAAGACTTAGATTTTGACACAAGAAACCCTTGAATGCTGGAGCTTTCCTGATGACTGAAACAGACGTAATGGTTTTGTAGGGGCATGGTGCAGACAGCACATGCTTGCTCCCTTCCAGAGGGGGTGGGCACCAACCCCAGGTGTCACACACACTGCAGTGGGCAGAGGTGACTCCGCTTCCGCTCTCCCACACAACTTGCCTTTTCAAGTCTGCTTTGAAAGGGCCCTTAGATACCTAGTACTTGTGGGTCTTTTCTTACTAAATAACAACAATGATGAACAGAACACAGACCCCTTACCAAGACTTGGCTGCTCCAAGAGCATGTCATTGTGACATCACTGGGTGAGGTGTTCACTAACCATATGCTAGAGAAATCCTGTAGGTGCTGCTCCGAAAGCACCAGAAAAGTCAGGACCCACGAAACAGCCATCTGCACGTGCGAGGGGCTGGCATCAACAGCCTACAACACAGCATCTCTCCCATCCTCTACAACTTGGTCACACAGAAAAAGTGAGTTAAGTTACAAAGTCCTTCCTCAGGCTTTTATCTTAACATGCCAAAGGAAGCTGAATGGTCCACCAGTTCAAAAACAAAAGCTAAGAGTCTGTGAAAGGGACATAATTCGACTCTGGGTGGCCAGCTGAATCTAGGCCACAAAGGGACACTGCGTGACGCTCATGCGATCACTGCCTGAGATACGTGGAATGAGGATAAAAGCTGCATCCACTGGGCAAATGTGCCCAAGAACAGAACCCAGTCTCTATTTGTTCTTCGAGGCACTAAGAATAAATAAATCTGAAACAATACCACGGTAAACTTAACCAAAGAAACTGGAGAGAATGAGAGCCCCAAGTGTTCCATCAGATATCTGTCACTACACGCACCTCACCCAATTCTTTGAGAAGTTTAAAAACTTACAAAGAGAACAATTCAACTTGAAAAACATTCAAAAGTACCATCATTTACCCCGTCCTTAAGATCACCTCAGATTTCAGGATGGGGCTTCAGTCAGACTCTAAGGCTACCTGGAAGGCTAAGGCCACACCGAGTTCTACAGAGCCCTGCTATCTATGCCTGGAGTCCCCAGTGAGGGCCTAAACAAGAGTCCACTTCATTAGTACAATAACTTTTTTATTCAACATCTACAAGATTTTGATATCTTGTAGTTTTTAACCAGATTTATACAATCTCAACTTTTCAATAGTGCAACCTGTGCAAGCAAAAAAAAAAAAAAAAAAAAAAAAAAGAAAAAAGGTAGAAAAAAATGGGGGAAAGGGAGGCTGGGAAAATAAAAACAAAAAGACCAACTGTCCCCTCACTGTTTTTATAAACATCTATTATAGGCGAAACAAACTTACCCATGTTGTAGATAAGTGTCTATTCACATTTGTACATTACCATTTTTAACAGCTGGAGATAATCTCTACAATGTCTTACAGCACATTAAACAATATTCAAGTTACTGGGTAACAACAACAACAACAACATACAGCAGAAGCCAAGTGTTTTCTCACTGTCTAGTTTACAACTCAAGTACGGTTTCCGGTTTGAATGACCAAGCAGATTTAGATAATGAAGTAAAAAAGATTGTGTGCAGGATGGAAGCCAATCATACTCCTTCCTAAAACGATGTTTAAGTTAAGGAAAACATAACTTACGAAAAGGCTCATAGCCATTTTGCAGCACAAATTAGGAATACTATTAATACATTAAAATAAAAATTTAAAGAGTTTTATCACAAAAAAAGGTATGTACTTACTACTTTGACAAGAAACCTGGGACAGGGAGGAGTGGGCAGGACTGAGGGTTATAAGCAACACCCAGGTAAATACTAGAAATGCAATACCCAATGCTGTACATCTTCAATGCTTCTCTCCATATGTGACTTCTGTGGTAATCGTGATTACACATGCTTTCAAAGACATGCACTGTCAACAGAAGCTACAAAAGAACCTGAATGCATGGCACGTAACCCTTCACTTCATGCTGTAGGAAACATTGTTTAAGTTGGAAAAGAAACCAATATATATATTCTGTATTTAGAGACTTGGAACACATGCATCTGGGGAACTCCCACAGTAATGACAAGGATATACTGTGTTAACCCTGAGCACTGTAGAAAGGAAGAGTAAAGCCAGTTTGGGAAGTTCCAAGCATTTTCAACCAAGTGTGGTCTTGTAGCATTAACTCACAGACTGACACATACGCGCAAGTGCACGTGCACACGCGCACACACGCACGCACACACACATCCACTCTGCTCACCCAAAGTAAAAGCGCACAGGCAGCCCCAAGGAAGCAAGAGAAAAGATACATGTACCCTCCACTCTGCTTGCTGTCAGCGTTGCTGCCTATTCCAGGTTTGTCCTTAACCCGCCCCCACCCCAAATTAACTAGAGAGCACAAGTGAAAAAAAAAAAGATAGAATTCTTTGGAAACTGTCCCTGATTTTTATGCAAGTGGTATGCTCTCACAGCATTCAACACCATGTGGAAGCCGCTGCTGCTCTTTACGAGTTGCTCAAGTTGGTGATGCTCTGCGGGTGATGCTGCTGCCACAGCTGTTTCTGTTGGACGGCCAGCTGCTGAGACTGGTCTGAAGTTGATAGGAGATTTACAAGAGGAGACACGCAATTTGCTGGAATGATCAAACCTGTAATTAGCAAGAAGAATCTATGAAGTAGAGTCCAGCAGAAACTACTGTATAATACACCTGAACAGAGGACTGCAAACCAGCCTCCCCCAGAAACAACATAGGTAGCAAGCACTGGACTCAAGCTGTCCCTAAGAGGCTCCCAGATGCACACACGCATGTGTCCAGTGTAACTCCATCTCCTGATGAAGAAACTTAAGTATGCGGCACACCACTTTCCCATCTACCAGTGTACAGCTTCATCTGCCCTGCAGACACCAAGCCTTCTTCCACTCAGTAAGGTGCAAAATGACTCAAAGACAAAGGGTAAAAGTGTACATCCTAATCCGTGGGAAAGGTAGAGATGGACACAGAAGAGTACAAGGGCAAGTGGAGGCACAGGTACCAGCTAAGGGAATCTCAGTTTTACTCTGTGGGGAACCTGAATTCAATATAGGAGCTAAGTGTGCTTTTTCTTTTTTAAAAAACAAGCAGCTGGAAACTCATTTATGTGAAACTTACAACCACAACTACCTGAGTGGAAAAAAAGTTCACTAACTGGGAAGTAGTCTTCCCACTACACAGAGAGGTGGTCAGTAGGAACAGTGTAGCAACAAGTACGCTACAGCTGACCACAGTGCTCTGACCTAGCCTGCTGCCCTAGCTTCTGCAGGACTCAAAGCTCGCCACTGTGCTGTGGCCTGAAGCTGCACAGTCTCAGCCTGGCTGAATGCAGCACCCTGGGAAGGAGAGTAGGTCATCTCCAGAGCAGAGAGTGGCAGAGAATATTGGGCAAGACAAGTTGAGAACAGTGCCAGAGACAACTACTGCCAGATCACAGCGTCCACTACAAGGCTCAAGTATGACTGGCTATGGTGGAACCTGCCTGTGATCCCAGCACCTGAGGGAGTGGCAGTGGGTGATTCAGACACATGAGTTTGAAGCCGAAAATCAGGCTAGTCGGGTATTAGTGGATCTCATTTGCCCCTTACAACCAAAACAAAAAAGCTTACCTACTATCCGCTGTCCATCTTCTGTTCTTAGCCGCACTATCTGCATTTTCACATTTGTGCCACTGACAGAGGCCAGAACTCCCTCCACTTTTGTCCAGACGCTCAGAACTGAGCCACATAACACATAGTATGTGCGGCAGCGGAGACCTATCTCACATACCAACCCTAAACTTGCTTTTTTACAATTGCCACGCCTAGGAAACACGGAAAGAGAAATATGTATGGAAACATGCATACACATAGGAGCAATCTGCCAATTCTAGCCATGTATCAAGTAGAAAATAATTCTATGCCCTTTCCCTAGGAGATCCCCTGGCCTAAGTTATTCTTTCCAAACCTGACATGTCACAATTACTCCTCCAAGTTCAGTTATACTCAAGAATGGTCTCCCTACTCACTGCCTACTTCACTATCCACACACTTCTGACACTTCAATGTCCCACTTCACCCGCCAGTTGATGCTGTGTCAGTGAAGCACTAGTGTCTGCTTCAAGTCTGACTAGTGGAAAAGACACAATAACTGGAACATAAATAACACAGATAAATATAAGGATTAAGATAAAGAGAAAAAGGAGCTTATAGTACAGCCAAACATTTCCCGATTCATTGACAGATGTACTTAAATTTCAAAGTAAAATAATTTTAAGAAAAATAAAATGGACGGGGAGGTGGCTCTTCCAGAGTAGGCACTACCTGAGTTTGAGTCCCAGAATCTAAATAGAAGTGGAAGGAGAAAACCAACTTAACAGAGTTGTCCTCTGACTGCCACATGTGTGCCTTATACCAATACCATACAAGTATGTGCACACATAAATATGCAATTAATTTTTTTGAGATTTTATGTTTACTTTCATGTGTACGGGTGTTCTGCCTCTATAATGTCAGTGAGTCATGATGCTGCAGTGTCTGAGGGGGTCAGAAGGCAGCATGGGAGCCATTAGAGCTTGTCTAAATTACAGGCAGTTGAGACCCTTGACATTGGTGCGAGTAATTGAGCTTGGATTTCCTAGAAGAGCAGAAGGCACTCTTAAACCACTGAACCATCTCTCCAGCCCCCAACTTCTGCCTTTTTGTTTGTTTGTGACACGGTTTTTCTGTGTAGCTCTGGCTGTTGAACAGGCAGGACTCGAACTCAAGAGATCTGCCTGCCTCTGGTCCCAGGTACTGGGATTAAAGGCTTGTGCCACCATGCCCGCTCTCCAGTCCCCTTATTGCTTCTTTTCATTTGTTTATATTGAAGCAGGGTCCTGCACATTCTGGCCTCAAGTCTGAATTCTCCTGAATGATGGGGTTGCACACATGAACTACCCAGTAAGGTTTTATGTTTTGTTTTTGTAAAGAAAAAAAAAAAGGGACACAGTGGCGAGCTCCTATAATCCCAGTACTCAGGAGACTAAGAAATGAGTAAGTCAAATTCAAGGCCTGGGAGTAAGTTTCCAGGTTAGCATGAACTAGAGTAGAAACCCTGACTCAAAAATAAGTAAGTAAATTAAATAAAAATAAAAGAATAAAGAAAAAAGAAAGAAAGGAAGAAGAATGGAGGAAGGAAGGATGGAAGGAAGGGAGGAAGGAAGCAAGCAAGCAAGCCAGCCTCACAGAGGTGGCACATGCCCAATACCAGCACTGGGGAGGCAGAGGAAAGCAGACCTCTGTAAGTTCAAGACCAGTCTAGTCTACAGAGTGAGTTCCAGGGCAGCCAGGACTACATAAGGAAACCCTGTCTCCAAACAAACAAACAAACAAACCAGTCAATCAAATATTAAGAGGGGGAGAAAAAGATCGATAAACAATTTCTATCAGAGGGATGGTAATTAAGGCTATGCTGCTAGACGCTGGCTCCTTGTTAATAACAGAGCATGAAGAAAATGCAGGTGTCCCCTCCAACAGCACCTGGTCCACAAATGTTACCTATACATTATCTGTTGTTATTAAGTCAGGGTCTCAATGTAGCCCAGGCTGGCCTCAACGTCCTGTATAAAGGAGAGTGGTTTTGAACTTCCCAATTGTGGGATTATAGGCCTTGACTACCATGGCAGGTCTCTAAGTATCATTCTGATGAAGTGAACTGTGCCTACGCTAGTCAAGTTGCTCATTTGCTCACAATCATATACTCATAAAGAATAAAAATGGGACATTGCAGCTCATGTCTACAGTTCCTGAACTTGGGAGGTAGATGTAATAGAATCACAAGGGTGCACAGTGAGACTCAGCACTGCTCCACACAAAAAATAAGTGTCTTTCAATCTTGACTATACTTTAAAAAATATGTGAAGCAACATGAAAGCACTAACCAGTATGCATGAGTACAGGTGTCTGCAGAGGAATTATACTGATCCAGCCAGTGTACCAGGGCATCTTCAGAGACGACCTGCAAAGACAAAGCAAAACCCCATTGATTCAACAGAACACCTGACCTGGTCACTAATTCCAGAAGCAGTCAAGAAAAAGAAAAATCATCTTCACCAGAAACCCTAGCCCTCACTAGCAGTGCAATGTAAACACCACTGATAACTGAGGCCCTCCTGAGATAAGGTGCGCCAAGAGCTAGTTGAATACAGTTACTTCCACAAAGGTTAAGGTAATACTTTTAGAAAGTCCGTAAGTGATGTTGGAAAAAACAGACATTGACTATTTTCTGGAAATGTGTAGGATAAAAACATACAGCATGCTCACGACCAATCAAAAGCTGGTAGGAAGCACCTCCCCACACTAAACCATTGCACTGTGCCCTGGGCATGGTTGTCATGCTCATCTTGTCTCAATAGGCAGTAATATCAAAACTGCAACAGCAATGTGTACGAAAACTTGCTCTTTTCGTAAAATCACCATCCTTGGGCCCAGGATTTGCAGCCGACACAGGTCCCTACCACGAAGCAAGCATTCACACACCACCATGTATGAGAAAATACCTTCTTATATTTCTTTTTCAGATCAGCATAAATTTCTAATTTGAGTTGTTTTCCAGTGTTTGGTCGGTAAATTAAAAATAGTTTCTTCTTAGGGTTTACTTCTTTAACTAAGATTGCAGTTTTTTTGTTGTTTCTTATCTATTAAAAGAACAATTGAAAAATATGTAAGAATTCGATCCTACACAATTAAAAATATTCTATCACAACATCACAGCAACAAATTCATTAATTCAAAAGACAACAGCATGAGGGTGGAGGTGGCACACACCTTTAATTTCAACACTCAGGAGGCAGGGCAGGCAGATCTCTGTGTGAGTTTGAGGCCAGCCTGGTTACAGAGTGTGTTCCAATAGAGCCAGGACTGTTATATAGGAAACCCCTGTCTCAAAAACCAAACCAAACCAAACCAAACCAAACCAAACCAAAAAAAGACAAAAACAGCTAAATGTGTAAGTATGTAACCACAAGCCTACATTTAAGGTAGAACCTGAGAGAAGGCCACTGATCAGACGAGATCACAGGAGTAAGACGAAGGCTCAAGGAGTACACTCTAACTGCCCAATGCTCCCACAATACAGAAATACAATTGTTTTTACAATCAGAATGTCTGGGACTGCAAAGATGGGCTCACTGGTTCAGAGGACCTGGGCTTGGTTAACAGCACCTCATGGTGGCTCACAATTGTCTGTATGTAACTCCAGTTCTAGGGGGATCTGATGCCCTTCTTGGCCTTTGTGGGCACCAGACACAAACTTTGTTACACAGATACTCATGCAAGCAAAATAATCTATATATATAAAATTAAGACTGATATGGCATTCACATCCATACACAATAATAAACAAAAATTGTAATGGTTAAGGTGAGCCAGGCATGATCATGCAGTCCAGAGGCAGATGCACAGTGATCTGTGAATTTAAGGCTAGCCTAATTGAAAAAGAGTTTTTTACAGGACAAGTCAGGGTGACATAGTGAGATCTGTCTCACAAAGAAAGAAAACTTGAAGCCACAAAAATCAGTAAAAAACCAAGTACTTCCTGATAACACTTTGAAGAGATTCCAATTCTTACTTGCAGTGATAAGTAAAAGCCATCATCTGGTCCTGTCAGCTCTGCCCAAATCTTGGTTGCTTCCTCCCAAGACATTCCCCTCTCCACACTAATCTGTAAAAGACACAGAGATTGAAATGCAGCTCATGTGTGTGGACTAGTAAGCAACACGCACTTTCCAGACTTACTGTGTATAGCTCGACGTGGCCAGAGGTGGAGTATCCTGGAGTCAGAAACTTCTTTACATCACTCTTCCTCACCTTCTCATCTCCAGAACCCAGATCTTCAGAAAGAAACAAGGCGTGTAAGTGGGGAGATACTCTGGACAAGAAGCATAGAAAGCACGAAAGTGTCCCCATTCACCTAGGATTCCCATGTCGTATCTTCCATTCTTCTTGGCATTCTGAACAACTGCAGTAAGTGTGTCTGCAAAATACTGAAACAACGCATTCTGCTGATGCACCTCCATGCCCAGAATTCTGTTTAAGAATTTTCCTATATTGTTATAGTCTGCAATGACAAGAATATATGAAAAATTCCATTAATTCTCATGTAAATTAAATTTTTTTTTACTTAGCTAGACAAACCTCCAAAATCTCACTTCCAGGTCTAGTCTTCCTCCCAACTTTTGCAGTGTTGCCCCTTCCGAACTTTGGCCACCAAGAGTTGCAACACAAGCTTAAGACAGTCAAACTGACTTTTTGTACCTTCCATTTTTCTATGAATATAATTTAGTATATAAGAATACTGGTTTACCAACATCAAATCCTGTATTATATTAATTAATTAATTTTTCGCTTTATTTTTTTCTTCCCCAAGACAGAGTTTCTCAGTGTAACAGTCCTGGCTGTCTTGGAACCCACTTTATAGACCATAGCAGCCTTGAACTCACAGATAGATATCCACCTACTTCTGTTCGTCAGCGGGATTAAAAGTGTGCACTACCACCAACCGGCTCAGATTTATTTGAATGTACATTTACTTACCATGTATGGGTGTTTTGCCTGCATGTGTGTCTGTGTAGCACTTGCCTGCCCAAGAAGTCAGAAGAGGACATAGTAGTTACCTTGTAGGTGCTGGAAGCAAACTTGGAAGAGCAACCAGAGCTCTTAAACACTAAACTATCACTCCAGCTAAATTTGTCTGTTTGCTTGCTTATTCATTCATTTAGGGTTTTTAGGACAGAGTTTCACTTTATAACCCTGGCTGTTCTAGAACCATCTCTGTAGACCAGGCTGGCCTTGAACCCACAGAGATCTTTCTGCCTCTGCCACCACCTCAATCTTCGTTTTTAATTATACTGTTTGTGTGAGGGTATGTGTACATTAGAGCAGGAAATCAACCTCAGATCTTCTGCAAGCTCTTAACTGCAGCATATTGTTGGCTCCAAATCTTTTTTGAGACACAGTCTCCATCTTGTTTCAATTTCCCCAATGCTGGGCTTGGTTACAGGCTTAAGAGCACCACACCCAGCTACCTACCCAACATTAAATTTTAACTCCAAGATCAACTACTAAATTAAGTCTTCACCCCAGTTACACAACTGAAATGCCCTGGACCTTTGAAAAACTATTTATGTCTGAACTCTGCTCCTAGATTCATTTACTTTTCAAAAGACTTATTTATGTGTATATCTGTCTGTATAGGAGAATGTGCATGATATCCTCAAAGGTCAAAGAACGTTATCAGATCTCTTGAAGACAGAATTATAGATGATTGTGAGCTAACCAATGCAAGTAATAGTTCTGGGAACACAACTCCAGTCCTCTGCTAGAGAAGTGAGTTCCCTTAACTGCTGTGTGAAATCTGTCTAACTCAAGGATGTTCTTGGACACGGTAAGATTTTATCACTTGTATTAATTTAATAATACCGATTGGTCAGTAGCCAGGCAGGAAGTATAGGCGGGGTAACCAGACGAGAATTCCGAGAAGAGAAAAGGTAGAGATGCAGATCATCAGATGCAGAGGAAGTAAGATGAGACTGCCTCACCGAGAAAAGGTACCAAGCCACATGGCTAAACACAGACAAGAATTATGGGTTAACTTAAGTTCTAAGAGCTAGTTAATAATAAGCATGAGCTAATAGAACAAATAGTTTATAATTACTATAAGCCTCTGTATGTTTCTTTGGGATTGAATGGCTTTGGGATAGCAAACTCTATCTACACATGAATTCAGTATTTCTTTAAATCTTAGCCAAACAGGATGACTTAAATTACATCAGAGCATTTGGAAGGCTAAGGCAACAGGATTGCTGCAACTTCAAGGCCAACTTTGGTTACATAGAGAGCTCTAGGGCTGTTTAAAAAATAAAACAAATCCAGATGACAATAAACTCCTGACAAGGTTGATCATATCTATAGCCAGAGCTAGTTATAATACGGGGTTAAAAATCTATTATAGGCCTGGCCTAAGGGCACATGGTGGATCCCAGTTATTCATGTGGCTAAGGCAAGAGATTCAATGCCTAGATTCTATACAGAGTAAGATAAAGGTGAATCTGGCCCATGCAACAAGAGCCTATCTCAAAAATAACAAGGAACACTCAAGGCCAGAGGCAGATGGACCTCTCTGAGTTCCAAGCCCAGCCTGGTCTGCACTGCAAGTTCCAGGACACTCAGGGGGGACAGTGAAAGACCGCACCTTCAATAGATGGATGGATGGATAGATAGTAAGAAGAATAAGTAAATACACCAAAGATAACTAAGGAAATAATTTTTTAAGGTTTATTTATCATCTATACAGTGTTCTTCCTGCATGTATGCCTGCAGGCCAGAAGAGTGCACTAGATCATATTACAGATGGTTGTGAGCCACCATGTGGTTGCTGTGAATTCAACTCAGGGCCTTCGGAAGAGTAGCTAGTGCTTATAACTGCTGAGCCATCTCTCCAGCCCAATAAGTGAGATTTTTAAAAAGAGGCTATTGCCACATCAGTAGGTTTAGGGCAATTCAAGCTCTAGCCAGAATGATTTGGGTCACTGTCAATGACCATCTGGGGGAAAACAGTCCATGTGAATGCAAAACCAATGACACCATCAGGGACCTAAGCAAGTGGATTATAGCCCAAAAAGGACCCTTTTGCAATACTGTCTTTTTTTTTTTTTTAAGAAGCGGGACATAATTTTTTATCAAATACATGTCTCTGGGAAATCACAAAATCCCTGACAGGATGAACCTGGAGCACCCAGCTCCGCCATGTCCTGCCATCCTTTCCTACCCTCACCTCTCACATTCATGAGGATGCTTATTTTTAACAACCCCTATGAACAGAAACAGATGCCAAAAAGAACAGAAGCAAATAAACAACAAAGTACAAAGAGGGCTTCAGATAACTGGGTGGGATGACACTTTACTAGTTGGCTCTGGGTTCCATTCTAGAACCACCTGCAATCCCAGCACCAGGGTGGCTAAGGCAAGAGCACTGCCATGAGTCAGGTAGGGTCAACCTAGGCTAGAGTGTGACTGTGTCACCAAAGTACAAAATTACAGAACTGGTTCAATAATTCAACTGTGCTTTGCCACTCAGGCCTGAATGTAAAAAAATACCAGATGCAGTGGTTATCTGTAAGTCAAATAGTTCTATAGTAGGCAGGAAGACACAGAACACCCAGAACTTAAGGGTCAGCTGGCTTAAAGTAGCCAGGACAGAATCAGAAAAGACTCTATCTCAAAAACAAGGTGCAAGGAGAGAACCAGACTTCTCCAAAATCATTCCTCTGGGACGCGTGAGCACATATGCACGCACACACACACACACGAATTGAGGCTTTAGTGCACAACAGTCTCAAGAAGGCTCTATTAATACAAGTTACATGTACACATAGTGACATTACCTTTATCAAGAGTAAGAATTCCTGACCGATCTTCAACATTAATCAGGCCCACTCCTATCAGTCCTTGCCGAACATCTATAAGAAAAAAAATTATGAAAAATCTTGACAATTCAAATGATTCAATAAGCTGTTAAACAATATTAAGTTCCAGCATTAAGATTTAACCTATGTACTGTGCTCTATTTTAACAACCAGAATTAAATTGATAACCAAAGTACTCAATAAGCTCAAAACCGAAAATCAACAAATCTCACATTGTGTATATGGTTTCTTTGGATTCTAGTGGTTTTGGTAGTGCTAGAGATCGACTACTTACCACTAAAATTTTCCCTAGACCTTCATTAAAACACCTTTAACACAGATAGGCAGTGCTGGTGCACACCTTTAATCCTAGGTCCATCCCTTTACTGAGTTTAAAGTCAGTCTGATCTACAGAGCTAGTTCCGGGACAGCCAGAGCTAATTAGAGAAATTTTGTCTTGGTAGATGAGTAAATGAATAAATAAATAAAATTTTAGCCAGGTGGTGGTATACACTTAAAATCCCAGCACTAAGGAGGCAGAAGCAGGTTGATCCCTGTGAATTCAAGGTCAGCCTGGTCTACAGATCAAGCTCCAGGACAGGACAGCCAGGGCTACACAGTGAAGCCCTGCATAGAAAAAAACAAAACAAAACAAACAAACAAACTACAAATACACCTTATCTTTGGTGGCTTCACACAGGACTCAGTAGGTTGGGGCAGGAGAAAAGTTTCAAGGTAAAGTGAGTTCCAGGACAACTTGGTGTGTCTCCAAAACAAAAACCAAACCAAACCAAACCAACGAACAAAAAAAAAAAAAAAAAAAAAAAGAAAAGAAAAAAAAAAACCAATCTAAACTGAGAGCTGTTGAGATGGCACAGTAGATAAGGATGCTTGCTGCTGCCAAGTCTGATAACCTAAGTTCAATTCCTGGGACCCACAATGGTGACAGAGAAAAACTCCCATAAGCTGTCCTCTGACCTCCACACACGCTGGGAACATTCACTTCACCACCCCCTCAAAATAGTCAACACATACATACACAGGACAAATTTTATCTTTTTACAAGAACACCCTGTATATTACAGAGATCCTTTATCTAAGTACCCACAAAATCGCTACAATTTTGTGTTAATGATTATATAAGGACATAATGTTTTCATTCAGGTCTTATCTAGAAGTAAAGTGCTACAAATGGTAAATACTGAAAAAGTGGTCAACATGCCCTTAAAAGACTTCACTGACACCCCCCCCCACTTCCCGAATTGGGTTCTTTTGTGTAATCCTGGCTGTCCTGAACTCAAAGATCCACCTGCCTCTAACTCCTGAGATTAAAGGTGTGTATGCTGCAGCAGGCTTTCAAGACTTAAGTGTATGATTGTTTTGCCCATATTTAGGTCTAGGCACCACATGTGTACAGTCCCCACAGAGGCCAAGGTAGGGTTTTATGTACCCTGGAACTTGAGTTAGAGATGATTGTGAGCCATCAACTAGATGCTGAGACGAAAACCCAGGTGTTAATGTTCTTAACTGGGTCTTACTCTATAGACTGGCCCTAAACTCAAGATTTTCCTGCCTCATCATGCTGAGCGCTAGGATTCCTGGAATACACTATGACGTCTAGTTTGATATTGGGGATGGAACCCAGGCCTTCAAACAAGCAAGGGAAGCACTGTAGCAATAGAATATCATCTTTATTCCCAGTTATGATCATTTTTAAGTTACCTTTAAAGAATTCTCCAGGGTAGTCTGGAGGTGGTGATACCATAGGAGAATCCAAGTTTACAATGGATTTCATAACAATTTCCAAAGCATTTCTTCCATACTGTAATAAAGGGGGAAATGTTTTAACCAGCTTCAACATTTAGGTATTATTTTTTTTTGCCCACTTAAATGCCATGAAAACTGTAATTGTAACCAAAATACTAAAACACACATGCTTTTAGGATTGTCTATTCTGAGGCTTTAAAGACAACAGGCATTCAATATGTTAATGGCTTATTTGATTTCTAATAACTCATTCTTGATGCCTTCACAAATACTCTAGTAGTGTTTTCCAACAGGAATAAAAAAGATGTGTGCAAAGATATGATGATGTGTAAAATCCCATCTCACGTCAAGCTATACAAACAAGGCAATACTAGCAGAAAGCAGAGTATTTATTTTTCAATAGTAATCAATTTCTCTGTCACTGCATAAACTACAAACAGCCACAATGCTAAAGATGCCGAAATTTACCTTATTGTCAAAGTTGAACCTGCTCAGATCTCTAGATTCTGTTGCTCTTCTGTCACCATGGGTAAGTGCCCCCTGGCAAAATACAGAATTCCCGGTCAAGGTATCATCAACCACTCCCAAAAGTCAGCTAACACAGATCATCTGTGAGATACATCTAACAACTCAAAAACTTACCAAACTCTCGAGTCTCTTAGCAACAATAGATGCAAATCTCTGCTCTCCAGCCAGTTCCGAAATCAAAAAGACATACTCTGGAGCAGTTACTTGGTTTGACCTGTGTGTTCTTCCTGTAGCGACATGTACAGTTCATTAGGTAGAATGGACTATTCTAAAATCTAGTTCCTAGCACTTACCACTGAACAGGTATAGAGACAAGGTCTCACATAGTCCAAAGTGACCTCAGACTCACTATGCAGCTAGTCAGGCCTTAAACACCTACTACTTCTGGATCTACCAATCACGTGCTGAAATTATAAGCCTGCACATCAACCTTGGCTAAGCTGGCACTGATCTAACTAAAATACCCTTGAAAAGAACAATTAAAGATAATATATCCCTTCTTGTAGCTCCCCAGAAGAGCAATTTAACTCTAACATCACAGTCTAGGACTAGAACCTGCTTTAAATGGAAAAGTGCTGCCACCATTTGGTTAACCAGTATTACTACATAGCCATTCTGGATGTTATGAGTGTATTACCAGATCATATGAAAAAGCAGAGAATAGGAACAGGAATGTGTACCTGCTAAGGGATGAAATGAACATATTAAGTAGTTGGCTTCTCTGAAAGACCCACACATTGTATATTGAAGAACTTTCTAGAAACCCTGTTCTTGGAGGTCACGGATACTGTGCTATCACAGATCTCAATATCGTGGAAAACCAGGCAAAAAGGAATTCATAATCTACTATACATCATGGTATGAAGAAACAAACTTCCAACATAGAATCTGAGAGTTCCACAGGCTTATGATGTCTCATACAGACCTGTAAGCATGTCTCCAGAAACACCTTTCCTCTCAGAGACATCTAGTAGAGACACTTACCAAACTGCTGAATCGCCCTATCAGCACTCCAGGGTAACTCCAAAGTCATGTGAACTCTTCGCCTTTGATTTTCAGCTCTCCGATCCGCTTGTAATGAAATACCTGAGCTGGCAGCTTCTGAGATAATAGCAATATTCTATATCAAATTGAAAAGGTAAAAAAAATAAAAATAAAAATCACCTCTGATCAAAGATAGAAAGGGTCAGTGCCTAGAAAACTTCCTTTGGTGGATACTGATGTCCACCAGTATGTATTCTATTCTCTTTCCAAAGTAGCAAGATGCTCTGGTGTCGGTGTGGCATGTGGTTGCCCAGAATCAAGATTAGCTGCCCTAGGGGCTGGAGAGATGGCTCAGAGGTTAAGAGCATTGCCTGCTCTTCCAAAGGTCCTGAGTTCAATTCCCAGCAACCACATGGTGGCTCACAACCATCTGTAATGAGGTCTGGTGCCCTCTTCTGGCCTGCAGGCATACACACAGACAGAATATTGTATACTAAATAAACAAATATTTTAAAAAAAAAAAAGATTAGCTGCCCTCGTCTCCCTTAATACTAAATATGTATACACAGGCAAGCTGTAGTCAGTAAGGCATAGGAGGTAGATATAATGTCCAAGAAATGTTATTTGAAGTAGAAGACAGGGCAGTGTGTCCCGAAGATTTTCAAGTGTTTGATGCATAGAGGAAGGCCTTACTGTCACCAGCAATTGTAACCTAAGGGGAAAATGCTTCTGATGGAGCTCAGAGGTGGAGCACTTCCCCAACAAGCATGAGGGCCTCAGTTTAAATTGTATATAATTTTGTACTAGGCTTAGAACTCTCTTATTTAAACAAAAGGGGGAGGTGCTGTTGGAAGACCAGCCACTTATGATTACCTGCCTACTGGGGCATGGCCTCTTATACTATACAGAACCTGTATTTGCCCCCTTTTTTCCTTCCCCTTGCTCCCATTCACCAATTGCTCATTTAGATTGTTTGGATTTGATCTCCATCCACCGTTCAGGCAGAGAATCCTGATTTGTAAGTTTACCCCTAAATAAATATCTATCTCTGTTCTGAGCTAGTGTGGGATTTCTTTTAAGTGTCTGTTCACGGCTTCATCTGGCAGGATCACTGTGACATAATTGAAACAAGATGTTACTGGGAACAAATCCTTTGGGCTCTGTCTTGGACCCTGTGTTCCTTTCTGCTTCCATTCACTGCCATAACATGAGCTGAGTTGTCCCTTGTATCCTTCCTTTCACAATAGGTTAAATGAATGAAATCATGAGCCAAGATTAACTTTCAGTCATAAGTGACTACTGGATGGCAGTTATGCAAAAGTAACTAATACAAGAAGCAAGAAAGGCAAGGAGGGAAGAAAAAGAGAGATCAAAGAAATCACTACAATGATTCACCACTTTTACATTCAGATTAAGGTATCCATGTATCTCTCAATCTCTCTAAATTTTTAGACAAGACCTCATGTAGTCCAGGCTAGTTTAAAACCCCTGCTCTACTGTAGCCAAGAAGACTGAGCTCCTAATCCTCCTTTCTCTAAGTCCAAGGCGCACCATCTCACCTGGTTTGTGTGTTTCAGAGTTCAAACGTTCTCCTAAATACCAAGAACAACTTGCGCATCATACAGAATCACTAAAGCATGTAAAATAATCAGTACAATTACTAATAAAAATAGACCGTTCCACAACCTTATAACAGAATCTGTGGATGTGGATGGATAGAGGGCAAACATTTCTAAAGCTGAACATATAGGCAGGTGCCTTCTATTGAAAAGCACCCTAGGAAAATATACCTTTTTTCCATCCATAAACCTCTGCTTCTCCGTGATGTTTAGAATTTCCACAGGCACATCAACTTCAGACCTTGACTCATAAGATATGCTTCCATCGTCATTACTCACCACCCGCCCCTTGCGGCCAGTCATCTGAAAAGCAAGCATTAACACTGAGCTTTAAGAAGAGCATGAAACATGGATGACACAAGTTGGTACTAGGACAAAAGAACAAAATGATCCATGGCAACATTACAAAAGCTGTACAGGAACCAGGCTCAAGCCAAACCTCAGGCACTGAGGACAGGCCTTCTGTAGCCAAACCTTGAGAACCCAAACAAAACAAGGTTCTAAGTTGTATCCAGAACAGGACATCCATGTACAGGATTTAAAAAGAGAAGAAAATAATAACAGGAAGGAGCATAGCACTAACCACATTTATTTACCTCAGCCACATTTTCAGGACCACCAAGTTCATCAATAAGTTCATCCAAGGTGTTAGGAGGGAGGTCTTCAGCTAATTTTTCTAGTTTATCAAGCAGGTCTTTCTTCATCTGCTGTGCCCTTTCCACAGCATCCTGACTCGTTATAAGGCTATTGTTACTGTTGGTGTTACTGTTAGCTGATAAAGAACATTTGTTAATCAAACTGTTATACCTGATTTCCATTTCCATTTCTAAAGTAGGACGTTCTGCACAGTACCTGGTGCACTGTTGGGAGCAGGTGAGACGACTGGTGCAGAGGAGAAACTAGGCCGCTTTGAACCAAGACCTGATGCTAACAAGGCACTTTGAATGGAATCTGGATCTATACTTTTCTTCTTTTTCTTATCTTTGTTTTTCTTGTGGTCTTTTCTAATTAACCAAGGATCTAAAATGTAAGAGAAATATGTATCAATTTAATAGTACAGTCCTTTGTTTTTAGAGACAGGGTTTCCTCTGTGTAGCCCTGGCTGTCCTACAATTTGCTCTGTAGACCAGGTTGGCCTCAAACTCAAGAGATCTGGCTACGACCTCTGGCTCCAGGGAGCTGGAATTAAAGGTGTACACCACCACCTCTCAGCACAATATGGACTCCTAATAGGAAGAACTTTTTTTTTTAATTAAGTATACAGTGTTCTGTCTGCATGTATGCCTCCAGGCCAGAAGAGGGCACCAGAGGTCATTACAGAAAGTTGTGAGGCACTATGTGGTTGGTGAGAATTAAATTCAAGACCTGTGGAGGAGCTGCTCCAAAAGCTGATCCACCTTTCTAGGCCCCAAGTTTCCTTCTGTTAACTGACACAAAGCTAGCAGTGCCCAATGCATTTACTCAACATACAGGGAGCTACCCCTCTACATTTTGAAGTTAAAAATAAGCAGATGTTGGGCAGTGGTGGTGCACACCTTTAATCCTAGGACTATGGGAGGCAGAAGCAGGTGGATTTCTGAATTTGATCGAGGTCAGTCTGATCTACAGGATTCCAGGACAGCCAGGGCTACACAGAGAAATCTTGTCTCGAAAAACCATGTGTGTGCTCACACACACAAAACAAACCCACATAAACTCAGTATATTCCACAAGGCTTGCAATTCCACTATCCCAAAACTCAGGAATACTGAGGCAGAAAAATGGGAACCCCAGAAAAATTCAACCCCAAAACTTAATATGAAGGAATGAATGCACAGTTCTAGATCATCTAGGGCTACACAGTGAGAACTTCTCCACCGGAAAAACAAAACAAAACAAAACAAAAAAAATACCACAACAAAGGCCCAAAGTTGTCTTATCTCAGATTCAAACCTCTACAAGACTAAGTGAAGATTATAACCTACCCGGTCACAAATACAAATAAAGGGTTTCATTTATTTTTCAAAGGCCTATTTTGTTTATTTATTGGTTTTTCAAGACAGAATTTCTCTGGGTAGCCCCGGCTGTCCTGGAACTCGCATTGTAAACCAGGCTGGCCTCAGAATCACAGAAACCCACCAAGCTTTGTCTCCTAAGCGCTGAGATGAAAGGTGTGCACCACCACTGCCAGGCTAATTTATTTTCTTTTTAACGATGGGTATGTGTGTATCTGTATGTAGGTTTGTGGACATAGTGCAGGTGTCTATGGAAATCAAATGTCCTTGGAGCTGGAGGTCTGGAAATTATGAGTTCACCAACTTAGGATGCTGGAAATTGAACTCAGCTTCTCTTAACCACTGAACCATCTCTCCAGCATGGAGAAAATATTTTATTTTTTGTTTGTTTTTGAGACAAGGTCTCACTATGTAACTCTGGCTAGCCTAATATTCAGAGATAATAATCCAGTCTGCACCCCTAAAGCTGCGATTAATGCGTGCACCAGCCCAGCAGCTAAGTCCCCTTCTACTGTTGCAACAGTTCAGTGAACTCACCATCCTCGTTGTCCTCACTGGACTCATCTCTGAAGGGGTTGAAATCATCATCATCACCAGAGCTCATGTTCTTAGAGCTCTCATAGTCACTTTCTTCATTGTCAGAGACATCAGACTCACTTTCGCTGTCATCAGAGCTGCTACCAGTAAGGCCACCAACTTTTCGTGCTTTTTTGGTTTCTCGGGTTATTTCTTCACCTATCCTCAAGCCCCAAATAAAAATCAGTTGAAAATGCAATGTTTCTAAAGACCTATGGTGTCAGACTTTAGATTATGAGTTGAGTCTAAGAACAAGAATAAACATTTGATAAGCAAAGCATGCTCACAAGAACCAAGAACTCCAGTTATGGTCAGCTACTCAAGAAGAAGCTAAATATATAAAGACAAACTCAAAACTGACGAAAAGAAAATGAGGGGCTGAACCAAGTCACATTGCATGCATGCATGAAATTCTCAAACCATACAAAATAAATACAAACTCGAGACACAGTGCAACAGAACCTAAGTCACAGTCGTAACTGTTAAGTAGCTGTGAAAAGGGTATTAGTAACTAGTCATGAAATACCTAGAATTTTTTAATCTATAAGCTAGGTATAGTAGTAGTCTCTAATCCCAGCATTTGGGAGGCAAACGCAGAGAGGTCTCTGTTGAGTTCAGAGCCTGTCTAGTCTACAGAGTGAGTTTTAAGTGCATTAGGACTACATAATGAGACCCTGTCTTGAAAGAATTGAAGAGGGGAGGACAGACAGACGTACAGATTTATAAAACTTTGTTTTTAAAGGTAAGTGGTTGGTTTGAATTACCTAATATTTAGAAAACAAATTGGGAATGCTCAAAAACTAAAACCAAACACTAAGATGTTCTCTTATTAATAGACCAGAGAAAACCTAACTTGAGACACAGGGAGACATCAATTACTCTACCACACTACCGATTGTAGGATACCATTACCTCATGTGCTACTCAATTAAAAAGCAAGGGGGAGTAGTAGCCCACTCAATTCAGGTGCATTACAAATGTGAGGACCAATGAAATGGTTCAGCAGATAGAGTGCTTGTCACCAACCCCGAGGACCTGAGTAGAACCCCAAAACCTATATGGAAAAAAAGTGATCAATCCCTGCAATTTGTGCTCTGACCTCCACATTCACAGTAGCACATGTGCACCCACAAGCACATGTAATAAAAAAATAGGAAGAATGAGTATCTTGTCAAGTCTAAAATGATTAAACAATGTCAAACACTACTTAGAGCCTACGACATTGCAGGTGTGTTTGTCTGGGCATGTTAAGGTAGGAGCCCAGGGCCCAGAAAGCATCATGGCCTTTATATCAGAATTCACAACTCACTTCTGAAAGTCAAACAGCAAAGAAAGCACCCAAACAAAAATTCTAGTTTACATCATCACAAGCTGGTTAACAAACACAGGTGAATACATCCCTAAAACTTAATACTATACTAATCAAAGCCTCTTTAGCCTTAACCAGCAAGAAGAACGTAATGTTTGTAACCCAGCTGCTCCAGAAACTGAAGCAGGAGGAAGGTAAGTACTACCCAGTACTATCAAGAAAAAAAAAAAGCGGGGGGAGGTGATGCACTGACTAGCAAATTCCATGTTTATTAAATAGCAGCTCTGACAACACAAAGACTAAGTGAACTTGAAACAATCCTAAAAAAGCTGGAAAGGTTCTAATTTCCTTAATGCTGCACAGAGTGTCCAGCTAGCTAAATTAAGTGGGACCACTTGTATATTCACTCTGGACTCTGAGCAACAGGGAAAGCACCAGTCCCTTCCCACTCAAGGAAGGAAGGAAATCAATCACAAACTACTTACAAACTCAGATCATCAGCACTGACATCAACTATTTTTTTAAAATTCATTTATTTTATTAGGTATACAGTGCTCTGTATTCATGTATGTCTGCATGACAGAATAGGGCACTAGATCTCATTATAGATGGTTTTGAGCCACCATGTGGTTGCTAGGAGTTGAACTCAGAACCTCTGGAAAAACAGCCAGTGCCCTTAAGCTATGAGCCACGTCTCCAGCCCTCCCATCAACTATTTAAAGTACTCACCTTTCCGCTTCTTTACTTTATTTTCTTTACAAGGGCTATCTCTTGGTGAACTGTTGTTACTTGGAGCTGTCAAATCGATTCCTAGCAAACTATAAAGTTTCTTCCTGTCTGGAGCAGGAAAGTGTTTTTCAATGAGTGACTGCAATACGCCTCTGTAGGAAAAAAAAGCAGTGAATCTTACACTTCATGCGGCACCTGGAACATCTTACTAGATATAGCTAAAGGGAAATATACATTTTCTTCAATCTTAAGAAATTTCAGGAAGAAATTAAAAAACATTACTTGGCAGTTGAAACAAAATCATTTAGTTCTCCTCCACCCTCTTCTAAGGCCTCCAGAGTTCTAGCTTCTCCTGTAGACTGCAGACCAATTACCACACACTGGAAAACACAAAATACACAATAATAAACAATAAAGCTGTAGCCTCTCACAGCATATGTCTTCTTACAGCATATGTCAAATGTCTAGTGAAAGATTTAAAAAATGACCCATTACATTAAAGCAATTTAGGCTTCATTTATTCTGAGGTATGCTATGTCAAAAAGTGAGAGAAATCCAGGTCTGATGTCGCTCACCTTTAATCCCAGCACTCAGAATGCAGAGTCAGGAGGATCTCTGTACATTTGAGGCCAGCCTGTTCTACAGAGTTTCAAGGCTGCATAGAGGGGTTCTGTCTCTCTGCCAGCCAGAAAAAAAATAGGAAACATATTTTACAGAACATGACAAATGTCTCTGACCTTAAGGAATATCACCCTTGTGGGGTTTTTTGTGTTTTGTTTTGTTTTTTTGTTCTCTCTCTTTCTATAGCACTGGCCATTCTTGAATCACAGAGATTCCCTCTCTGCTTCCCAACTGCTAGGATTAAAGGCAATTCTAAGTTTTGAGCAGATCAACCAAAAGCAAGCAAGCTTAGGGCAATATTTATAGTTATTAATGGAAAGAGCACAGTTGAATAGATTACATAGTGTATTTTTATACTCTGCTGAAATTTCTGAACAGGCATTTTTTATATACACAAACAAATACAAATATTCATGTGTCTGTGTGTGCAAATGTAGTCTGTCTTGATACAAAGTGTCATACAGCCCAATTCAAACTATGACCAAGCCACAGCTGGCCTTGCTCTTAAGAGCCTCTAGTTTCTATCTCTCATTTGATAGGACCACACACACACACACACACACACACACACACACACACACGCTGGCATTTTTAGAACTTTTTGCTGAATTCTTGAGACAGGACTTCTTTGCGTAGTCCTGGATGTCCTAGAACTCACTCTGTAGACCAGGTTGGTCTCAGGCTTAGAGAGAGATCTACCCAACTCTTCCTCCCAAGTGATGGAATTAAAGGTGTGTACCACCACTGCCTGGCTTAGAATTTATTTTGAAGGATCTGTTTATAGTGGCACA